CCTCTCACGCCAAAGTGAAGTTTCCTAAGATACTTTTGACATAAAACTAATTAAAATCCAAAAAGAAAGTTTCAGGAGTAGGATGTGTGATAAAGCTAGCAGCTATTCTGAAATTCTGAAGTTGACTCTTCAAATCTAAGCCCATGTGTAATAGTACCTACGTTGCGTATGACTGACGTTATGTTCAGTTTTATAGCACTTTCTCAACTATTCAGTGTAAATTATCTCTTAGATTCCAGTAATTCACACCTTCAAAATAATAAGAATCACTGTGCCTTAGTGTAATTAGCATTTCACTATAAGAAGGCTTTCTGGGGCATTTTTAATACCCTCTTAGCTTTTTCAAAAGTTGTCCTGGTAGCTAGATACTGTGCTTTCTAAGGCTGAAGGATTTTCATGTGTTGATTTCACAATGTTCTTGAACGTTCCCATGCTTTAGAACTACCAAAGTCTTGACGTTTCAGAAATGCTTTAGTGGATATGTAATGACTCTTTCTAATGTACTAATGCTTTTGCATAATATAATTTTGATTTTAAAATAAAATTAAGTTATCGAAACAAAACCAGGGGGTTTTAATGCAAACAAATTTATCCTCTTTTTATTTTTTCTTTTAATTAGCAGAATGAGTTCTTAATCTTTTTAAGCTACATCTGTTACACTTGTTAAGCTGTAGTTCTTTTAGTTTATGAAATTCATCTATGCTCATTGAGTTATGTTGAAGCAACTTGATTGCATTACTGGCATATTGATCTTTTGACCTGTGCCACTTTTGGTTTTCTATCTGAAAGGTTTATTAAAATTGTTAAAAGTACTGTAAAAAAAGTAGATGGTTGAGTGTGCAGTGGTGAGGGTTTTTTTTGTTGGGGTGGGTTTTTTTTTTGTTGCTTTATTTTTGGTTGTTTTTCCTTGTTGATGAAGGGATGCTTCAGCGATGTATAATGAGAATAATTTACAATTATTCTCAAGGATGAGATATTTCATCTCATATCTTACTGCATGGGAATTTTAAGTAAGATGGGAAAGATAGGAAATACGTGCAAGGTATTTTGCTGCCCTCTTTTGGTAGAGCGTTTGTATTGTAAGGAACATGCTCAACTTGTTCATAGTTTTTATTTGTATATTGAAAAAAAAAATTCGGGTTTAATCTTTTATTTCCTGAAGAAATGGGAAATGAAGATTCTTTTAGAAAAATGAGATGTTAAGTACTGAATCACTCAATATTTAAAATGAGAACTTTTTCGTTTAGGTCCTGCATGGGTGAAAGGGGTTATCTCACTGCTGTTTATCTATATCGTAGTAGGCAGCCAATACAGTTTGATAGTGTTGATTGCTGACTGAAATACGTTTTGCTTCAGATAAAGGTTAAAGTGTATAAACTCTTGGGGTACATTTTGTTATGGTATGTGGGCATTGTCTGTCTTTATAGGTCTCTGAGGAGGAGAAAAACCTCAGGTGAGCCTCTGGAACATGTTTACACATATCCGGAAAACTAGTCAATTCCAAACAAACAGTTTGATTTAAACATACATCTCATACTTTAGCTAAAATTGCATGTAATTTCATGTTATATAGAGACAAGAGTATAGATTTATACACAGTCTTGTCATCCCTGTCTCCCTCCTCCCCTCCTTGTATATAGTACTTACATACACAAGCATGTGGACATACCCCTCACAACAGTTAGAAAAGCTTTAAGTAAAAACTAACAAAAGTCCCCACCCTTCTGGTCCAGGGCAAACACCTGGAATACTCCCCCCTGCTACTCTCCTGTCCTGTGGGCATTTTTGGTACAACCGCTTCTTGTTTGTGATGCAATTTCTGTTCTCTAAATGACCTTCCATGGGCTTTTCCTTGCTCTTTCTTTGAATCACTCTGGTAAGGAGTTCCACAGCTCGTCTCCTTGATGTGCAGAGGTGCTCAGTCTTTTTTATTTATTCGTTATTTTTTATATTTTTTTAGCTTTGCTATTATTAGTTGCATTGACTCTTTCCTTCCAGCTTTTGTATTAGGATGTCCTTATTGCTCAGGATTTTGTAGACCTCCAGTTGTCTTTTCCAGAATGCAGAATTCCTGTTTGGTACTGTTGGTCATAGCTGTAGCGCTCTTTGAATCTTTTCAGTCCTGCTATTTTCCTCCTTTTGAGATGAGAACAGAGATGCAGGATTTGTGAAGCAGGATGATGGTATTTTCTATACTGCTCTGTAATCCTTTCCTAATGTATAGTATCTTGTTTATGTTTTTGAACAGAATGTGTCAATGAATGAATGTTGTCGTAGAACTGTCTGTCATAGCCCTAATATCCCACTCCTGAGTCAGTAGTCAACTTGTAGTGCAACATTTTATATATGAATTTAGCAGATTTCCTGTCTCTCCTGCATCACTGCAGTTATATCTCAGTTGAGTTTTATTTGCCAGTTTTAGTGCCCAGTACTTGGAATTAGAAGATCCTCAGTAGTTCTTCATAATCAGTCATCATCTTTGCTATCCTAAATAACTTAATATTAAGGAGCTTGGTCAAGAGCACCTCACTGTTTCTTTTCCAGGTTGCTTATTAGAATATGAAATGGCATAGCTCTTGGTATGGCTTATTGCAGTACTGCCTCGGTGATGCTGCTGTTATGTGAGAAGTGACCTATATTGAAGTTCTATTTCTAGAAAAAAAATGAAGAACTTAAGAAACAGAAAATTTAAATATCTGGCAGCAGCTTCATGTGTCATTAAATCCAGTGAATCGGTACCTTCTAGTTTCATAAACTAAATACAACATGAAATGTTTATAACCTCAAATGCCTTATCTACATTTCTGTTTTAGGATTAACACTGTGTACATTTCTAGGTAGAATATGCTACTTTCTGGCAAATGAATGAAAAAGAATTGTCAAAATAAACAAAAGCTGCTTTGGAGTCTGTCAATGTTGACTCCTGCTCTGAATAGCCTTTTAGCTACCAAAGTCTGTGCATCCACCTCCTTTACAAAAAAGCCTAAGATGACCAATCTGAAGTTAGCCATGATGAAACCCCTGCTTTCTTCTAATAATAGATTTTATCTGAGGGGGGAAAAAGCACATAATAAAACTAGTTTTGTACAGTACAGAGCAAGCAAAAATGTAATACCAAAAATATTTTTAATATACCTTTTAGAGCTTACATTTCTGTGGTTTATATTTTATTCTCTTGATATTTTGTAGAAATCCTCTACTAGTTCCAAATACATATCAGTCAATTGCCAGAATTTTTGGTGGACTTCAAAGGCTAAAAACCAAGCATTTAGTAAGCTGAATTTCTTAGTGACTGCTGTTACAACTTTGTTATATGGGAGAGCAGGAACTGATGGAAGAACTGATACAGCAGCAGAACTATTTTGCAGCTTCTGAGGATGTTGGGTAACAAGTTCAGTATGGAAAAGTCCTTTTGCTGTACATAACTGGAACTTAAATGCTTATAGCAATTATGACATTTCAATATTTAACAGGAGTTGGTTTTGGTTTTGTATTTGTTTTTTGAAGGAAAAACATTGTTCTGAAAGAGGATGGACTTCAACAGTAACAGTGTATGCGCTGGGGTTTCCAGTTCTGCCAGTATTTTCTGAGCATGAATAGGAATGAAGTTCCCTTTGTTTTCAGGCTTGACTTTTACATGGCTCTGAGCATATAGACTAGAATTACTAATGACCTTTCCAAATAAGATTGCCCAGTGGCAGTCTATAGAAAACAAATACCTAGTAGCTTAAGGTGTCAAAATTTAAGTCTCCTTTTTGCTTTATGGTTAAAAGCTGCCTGTGCTTTGTATTTGTTGAGAAGCTATCTTCAGTTTGTATTTGAAGCATGGCAGAAAAAAATGGCTGTGTGCTTTGTATACAAGTTCCTTTAAAATGTCATGATTTTTTGAAAATAAGAATTCAAATAGAAGATGATAACTAAAAAGATTTCCAGTGATATGTACTGACAGGAACATACTGGCCACAGCTTTGAGGAGGATGTGCCTAATTTTCCTTTTGGTAGTGAGTTCCTCCAAGAGATGAAAAAGCTTTGAAAATCAAAAAGCTATATTTTACCTGACTAGAAACATGTATCCTATTTGAATATAAATTTATTTTTAAAAACTAAAGAAAATATTTAAAAGTTTTGGGAAAGAATCAAAAGGGCTGTCTACATCTTTTCCCACTGTATTTTTGCAGCAAAGTCCTTTCTTTCAGCCATCCTAGTGGGTTTGGCAGAAAATTTTATGTGATTCCTTCTTACCCTTATAAAGTTCTATTTCCTCTGCTTGGCTTTTACTTGTTTTTCTCCTCTCCACATCTCCTGCCTCTCTGCTTTCCTTTGCAAAGACTCCCATGAGCTGGAAACCCTGCCAGCTCCCTGCACTGTTTCCCTGGCTGCTGCACCCTCAATTTTTTTCTGACCATGTCCAGTTTTCCCCTGCTGTCAGGGTGGTGTTGTCTTCATGCCGGTTAAGCTGTATGTGCATGTAGGCGTATGCAGGCGGAGAGGGACACATACACATTTTGATGCTTCTGTAAAATTTGAATAAATACATTTTTCAGATAAACTAGTTGGCTAGTAATTTGGGGGGGGGGGGTAATGAGTATTTGTTACTACTATTTCACTGTACTTCTGTTCACTGCTTTGAGTATAAAATACCACGCAAAGAACAAGTGTAACTTCATATCCCAACCTGGGAAGATTGCATCAGTTAGTAAATTATCAGCACCAGCTTTCTATTCTTACCTCTTGAAAGCTGTCTCTCAGAATGTTAAATTAGTTAAGAGGAAATTGGATATGTGATTCTTTTTGCTGTAAGCATAATACAACTATTATTATCCAGCTTAGAAAAATAACATGTAGAGTTCAGAATTTTATGTAGGTACAAACGGTGTGCTTTTGTTCTCACTGGTGCAAAGATTGTTGATTAGTTTATCTCTTCTTGTCCTCTAAAAGTTGCTTGATATTTTTGGTTTTTGCTTTGCAGCTTAGTCTTTTTCCTTTTTTCATGATTGTAGACAGTTGCAAGAGCAACAGAGGCAGAAGGAGCTGGAACGGGAGAGGCTGGATCGTGAACGAATGGAACGGGAGAGGCTGGAGAGAGAGAGGCTAGAAAGGGAAAGACTTGAAAGAGAGCGCCTAGAACAGGAGCAACTGGAGAGAGAACGACAAGAAAGGGAACGGCAAGAACGCCTAGAAAGGGAGAGACAAGAAAAGGAGAGGCAGGATCGAGAAAGACTTGAACGACTTGAACGGGAAAGGCAAGAAAGAGAACGGCAAGAACAGTTGGAAAGGGAACAATTGGAATGGGAAAGAGAGAGAAGAATTTCAAATGCTGGTAAGAATTTCAAAACTGAGTGTATTCAAGTACCAGACTGCTCTTTATGTATTTGAGTGATGGAGTGGGAGAGAAGCAACAAAGGGCAGTGAGTACAGTTGTGCAACAACAGTCAATACTTCAGGCTTCTATTTGCTGGAGTTGCCTCCTTTTTATGGCAAGAAGTCCAAGTTCTTTGACTTTCCTGTCATAATTTTCCATTAACTCTTAAATAATTTTTTTGGTACTGTTTGCTCACTCCATTGCCGTACTCTCACATTACTTGAAGAACTTGAATCATATTGGGCACCTCCAACATTGGTTAAAGTATGATGAGTTAAAATTTCTAAATACCGTATCATTGTTTGCTCTATTAAACAAAATGTATTCTTATTACATAATTTGGATAAAAAAACAACCCCCCCCCGAACATATCAAGTTGAGTGCGTTAATGTAGAAGGTACGTACCTACATAAGGCAAAGTAATAGTGCGAGAAATGCCTTTCAGTATGAAGTCTTGCTTAATTTATCATTGTAGTAACATTTCAGTAAAATGTATTATATGTATTTGTAGATAAGATAATGCACTGCCTGTGGAAATGTATCCAGCGATAACTCAAAGTTTTCTCATTTCGGTAATATAATGGAATATTAGTCAAGCACTTGGTTGTTCTTTAGTAACAAACTCAATTTACATAAGAAGTCAGCTCATGGTAAAAGTCGAGGTATACTATGTAAGAGCTAGTCACTTAAGAGCAGAGGATTTTGCTGGTAGTTTTATTCCCAGTACTTTCAAGTTTGTGGTGGAGCTTTTTCTGGGGAAGAGAAGGATGATACCTACTTGCTGCCTATGGTATGAGTTTTGTTGGAGTTGTAACAAATGTTAAGATCACTACACTTGCTTGCAGGTTGCAACCAAACAAGATAAAAGCTGATAAAAGACTGATTAATCAACCCTGTATCTAATCCATCTCACAGATGGGATTTGAGAAAACTTACTCTAGAACGTACTTGTAAATTCGAATGATGGCACAAAAATAGTTGGTAAAATTTAAAAGCAGCTGTTGATAATATGTAAAACTTTCCTAACAGTATTTTCACTTGTGCCTAATCCTCTGGTACTAACTGTAGTCTACATTTATACATTTTGTTTGAATGCTGGTTTTGTTGCTTCATTAGCTCCCTTTTTCTCTTTCTCCTTTTTTTATCCTGCCTTTGCTGCTGCTTTCCATCTTCTGTCCAGCTCCATCTTTCGACAACTCCCCGTATAGCACTCCACTTCCTGAATACTCCAGTTGCCAGCCTCCTTCAGCACCTCCTCCATCATATGCAAAAGCAGTCTCAGCACCAATGTCAGAGGCCGCACCGGAGTACGCTGTAGCGACTTCTGCACCACCGACTTCCACTCCCCCTACACCGCCTCTAAGGCACTCTGCATCACGTTTTGCTACATCTTTAGGCTCAGCTTTCCACCCTGTTCTCCCCCATTATGCTACGGTTCCTCGTCCACTGAGCAAAAGTTCTCGGCCCCCTTCTCCTGTCAATGCCCCGGCGACTTTGCCTTCAAATACAAAGCCTGTTGCCTGGTCCGCGCCCAGTTTTGCCCCCCTTCCCCCATCTCCACCAGTCATGATAAGCAGTCCACCAGGCAAAGCTACTGGTCCGAGACCTGTCCTCCCAGTGTCGGCTTCTAATCCAGTGACCCAAATGTCCACGTCTCCCACGGCTCCTAACGGGCTTCCTGAAAACGTGGCTTATCCGGTTCCTTCACCTTCTACCTCAGGTCCGACTCCGCCTCCGCCACCTCCTCCCCCCCCACTGCCTTCCTTTCCGCCTCTGTCACTCCCTGGACCTCAAGCTTCTCCTTCTCCCAACTCCCCGAATGCCTCGACTCCCTCATCCAAGCCTAGTGTTCTCCCTTCTCCCTCTGCAGCTACCCCTGCCTCTGTTGAGAACTCTCTAAACTCTGTGCTGGGAGACTCCTCTGCTTCTGAGCCAGTCTTGCAGGCAGCCTCTCAGCCGATTGAACCTACGACCCAGCAGGGTAAGGCTTTCTGTTATTGCTACTAATGCACTAATCAGGAATGCAGTCGAAACCAATTGGTATCAAAGCCCGTAACTGCCCCGAAGAATTAATACAATGCTTCCAAAGTTGCAGTGATCTTAATACCACAACGAAATACCGTTTGGAAAACTGGGGTAAGGGAAACTTTAATGCTCCGTGAAGAAGAGCCGGTGTTCTGTGGCCTGCCATAAATAAAATTCTGGTTTCTTGAGCTCTCCCTTGTTGAATACTTGCTTGGTAAATCTTGCACTGTTAGTTTATTTGGAATGTGGTGTTAATGGGCAGCATTGTTAGTTTCCTGATGACAGTTAACATGGAAGAATATATGTGTGGCTTTGGACATGTGAATGACCTTAAGCAAGGAATAATCTGAACTACTTTGATACTCTACATAGTTTCAAATTTACGAAGTAGCATGTAACATCTACAGCATTTCTTTCTGGACAGTGGTTGTATTTTGATATATGGCTGTATGCGCGTGTGTATATATATATATATTTATGTAAAGACAGGTCTTCCTGTGGTATTCTACCAGCATAGCTAAAAAGCAGGTTACAGTCTCAATGGACAGTCTACCAATGCGATAGAAATGTATTTTACATGGATGTACAAGTCTTTGTTAACCTGAATCCTGCTTTTGTATTGATTTAATAGATTTAGGGCTTTGTACGTAAGTCGGTGGTAGCTCAGCTAAAACTCTGGGCAGAGGCACTCCTGGGGGATGAGCAGACTGTGGCTTCATCACACACAAGTTGTGCAGAGTGGATTCTGCGTATGCCCTCTTGTCTTAAATGAAGGTGTGAGCTACGCTGGGATGGAGTGGAACTAGGGTGGATGGCCTCACTTGTAGTATGGAGTAGAAGTGTGCATTTAGATGGTGACTGATGCCAAGAGAGTTTAAAAGGCTTTTAAATTTACACAGTGGTTAGCCGAGTAGGACAGCAGGAAGAGTTGTGTGGGAAATTCCTGCCTGCAGAGGTTACATAAGGTGGCTGGGCAGCATTTTTAGCAGCTTATGGCAATGTGGGTGAGGCGGGTGCAGGATGTGTGGGGCTATTTTCTTTGTCACAATTTCTTAAACTGTTCCTATAGTAAAAGCACAGCAATAATCAGAATATTCTTTCTTCAAAACACATTTTGTATTGCATATCAATGTGAATTTAAAGCATTAAAGGAATCATAGGTAAAAAATAGAAGAGCTCGTTCCCATTAGCTTAAAATATGTCAGTCTTCTAACTCACTAATTAATGTTTGTATTAAATTATTAAAGTTGATTCCTGGAATGTTTTTTAGAGGAAGGATTTTTGTACAGCCTAGAAATTAGCATTGGAAGTCAAACAGTTCGAGGGTTCAGGTATTTGGGTGGTGTGTTAAATTCTTTTTAGTACAATGAATAGGTCCCTCTGTGTTTTTCACCATTTGAACAAACAGTATAGTTCCTACATGGTCTGGTGCTTGTGCCTTACGTGACTTTTATAAAAGCTTTGCCTGTTTCCTGGTGTATGATTTTTGGTTGCAGCACAGAACCTGACTGGAGGGGTTTTGTATATAAAAGTCTCTGAAACTGTCAGATCTCTTATAGCATACTATGTAATATTTTTAGTGCATTTAATAAGAATGTTTCTTCCCTTTGGAAACTTGCAGTGTTTTCTTGCCTATAAAAAGGACCTTAGCAGTATTAATGTCTCATACATTGAGCAAAAGAACCAGTATTTCAGTGGACATATTTTTTTTTTCTAAATCCTTAACATAGTCTATTTGTTTTCTTTTTGATACTAGGTGTTGTCCAAGGACCACCTGCACCTCCTCCCCCACCTCCCCTGCCCCCTGGCCCAGCTCAGTCTTCAGTAGCAGCCCCACCTCCTCCTGGCCCACCACCACCACCTCCACTTCCACCTTCAGGGCCGCCGCCGCCACCACCACCACCTCCTCCACTTCCTAGCCAAGTTCCTCCCGTTCCCCTTCCACCTCCTGCTCCCCCTCTCCCTGCCTCTGGATTTTCAGTGGGATTCGTGTCCGAAGAAAATCGCCCTTTAACTGGACTAGCAGCTGCACTCGCTGGAGCCAAACTTAGGAAAGTCTCACGGGTAAATACAACTGTTGTTTCTTTTTCTGATTCCTGTCTCTAAATCCCGTCTTCCTGAACTGGTTGTAATTTTTGTTTAAGATTAATAGCGGTATCAAGACTTTCAGGGTAGGCTCAATTCATTAATTAAAAAAGTATCACAGGATGTACTACCAGCCCATCACTTTCTTTATACAGTTGTTTCTTTTTTGTCTGTGAACTTTGCTTCTTTCATTAAGTCGGCTATCATTTTATTTGCACATCTACTGTTATTTTGTGTGTTATGAAGGGTGAAGACTCCTCCAGTTCAAGTGGAGGAGGAGGAGGAGGCGGCTCTGCTTCATCTAAAACAGACAGTGGCCGTGGAAATGGACCACTTCCCTTGGGAGGCAGTGGGTTGATGGAAGAAATGAGCGCACTGCTGGCCAGGAGGTAAGGAGCTGTTCCTGTGCTCCAGTTGCTTGGTCATCATAAAGGTAGGATTTTTGGGTGCCTGTTTGCAGCTGGCTAAGGATCAAATAAACATCGGCTTGCTTATGTGGTTGCTTTGTGAAGTTGATAACGTTTTGTGAATAGCCATTTTTACTTGAGTGTAATCGAGTACTTTTCTTCTGTGTAAGTCTTTGTGCAGCAGTAGGGGAGAGGATACGGACTTCAAGAGGAGAAAGAATTGCACAATTGCTTTGGCAGGAGGGCTTTGTCCTTGAAAGTATTTTGAAAGTACTTTTTTAACCACTGATTTTCAATTGTCTAGCTATCAGACTATATATGTCTTTAACTATATTAAACAAAATTCTTCCATCTCAAAGCCATGATGACCTTGGGAACTTTTGTCTCTGCTTATAGGAGAAGAATTGCTGAAAAGGGATCAACAGAATCGGAGCAGAAAGAAGATAAAACTGTAAGTTGAGAAATTTTATCTCCTTCATGTTACTCAATACTAGATTATGAGGAAGAGTCAAATGGTGTACGTGAGAGATTGTTTATTTTTTACCATATTTATATATATACACACAGCCACTATTTTGTGAAGTGCATAATGCTTACACCTTTTCTACGTACAATTGAGCAGAACCATTTAAATTTATCTAAAAAGTGGAATAAATATTTGAACAGTTGAGATTAATCTGTTAGATTTGCAAGAGTCAAAGGTGTGCTTTTTTTTTTTTTCTCTCTTTCTCCCCCCCACTCCTTCTCCCTCTCTTCTCCCGTTTAATCAGGAAGAATCAGAGTCTTCAACTTCTAAGGTTTCTTCAACAAGCACACCTGGTAAGTAGCACAGGTTTGTGAACTCTGTGACTCTGTAATGCTAAAACCTAACGATGAACCTCAGTCAGCTGTGCTGAATTTTGGAGCCTGCCTCTCCCATGATTACAGCTTGGCATTTTGCTGTAGAATGGGTCACGGTTCAGAAGTGGTTCAGAAGTGTTTCAGAAGATGGCAGATAAAAAGAAGATCCACTGGAACACTACACTTTGGTATAGGGGTCTCCCATGTCAAATCTATGGGGCTGATGCACAGAAAGCAGTTGGTAGTGAACAGAAAAGCAATTGTCTTTCAGTCTTTGCAGGACAGGAGTTTGGAATATAGTTTGTTTCCTTCAAGGCAGATGTAAAAGAGCATCAGAGTCAGACAGAAACATTTGATGCTTCCAGGAACTTTAGTAAAGATTTTCTCATGTGCAAGTACCCTTTGTAAATCTCTAAGTGCTTGGAGTAGAAACTCTTTAACTGTGATTCCTCTGCTAAGGTATGCTGGTGGCAGTTAGGAACTGTGTAGCCAATACTTCTGCGGCAGTCAGTAAGGAAAGCTTACATATCACCAACTCTTTAGTTGACCAAGATGTACTGTCAGCATGCATGCGTATTCATACTGTAAGCACTTGTGTTACAAGGACTCAAGTGACACTCAAGACTTTCTTTTCCTGTCCTTTAGTAGTACCTTCCTGTACCCTTAGCTTCCCTGGCCACCTCCCCCTAGATGCATACAAAAAGGGGAGGATGTGCCGTATAACCTGCAGTTTGTCATCCCCAAAGATACTGGAAGCAAAAGGCAAATGAGTGATGAATATACCAGTCTTCAGTATGTTCCAGCTTTCTCTGTTGGTTGCTTACCTATGCGTATACTTCTTCACTAGGTGATTCAGCCGCTTGATGGGGTGCGGGCCTTAATATTGAAAACTATTGCTGTAGGGTGAACAAAACCCAGGAGGCCTCTGCCTGTGGGATAAAAAGGAGAGCGAGGAGCTAGGTGTGTCCTGATAGAAATAAATGGAAAACTGTTAGTACTGAGATACAGCCTGTAGTCTAAAGAAATTAGACTGCAAGGCAATAAATGACTTAATACAAATCAAGTTTTTCATATTCCGCCCCACCCACCCCAAGCTTAGGAGTTTGCTTCTTTCTGTTAAACGCAGAGACAGTATTAGCCTTGGGGATATAATCACTTTTGGAACACTTCTAATAATACAGGCCCAAAAGAGAAAAATCAAAAACAGTGGAAGTGAAACAGTTCCTTTAATAGGTTATCATGATATTAGCCTTGGGGATATAATCGCTTTTGGAACACTTCTAATAATATAGGCCCAAAAGAGGGAAATCAAAAACAGTGGAAGTGGAAACAGTTCCTTTAATAGGTTATCATGATAAGCCTCATCAAACTTCTTTAAAATATCAAATGCTTCCAGAGGATTGACTCTTTCCTTCCATTGGAGAGATTTCACTTCATTTCTTGATATAAAATGCTCTGGTGATGCTGTGCCTCATCTTTGGAATGCGTCTTTAAAATATTTGAGGAATCCTTGGCATACTGAGCAAAAGCCAGGTCAAAAATTTATGTAATTATGTCTAATTATCACTAATAATATAACTGAAATTGTTATACATAGACTTGCTAGCATTTACCTCTTTCTCGGGTGTTGCCCTTTCCCTTCCTATGTGCTGTTGTGGTGAACTAGCAGGGTGCCACATTCTTTGTCAGGAGGGGTATAATGTTGAAAGAGGAGATATTTCTTCTGTCTTGAGCTTGGGTCTCCTTGCATTTATTTTGAAACATTTCAACTCTGTTAAGGGGCTGTAGTCTCTCCCTCTCTCTCCTGTCGCTTACAGGGAGAGTTACACCATGATTACTTAGACATATTAGTCCTTCTCTGTACATGGTATATTCCTTTTAAAGGAAACACACAGTCACAAAAAGCTAAGTAAAACCTAAGTTAAAACATGTTAGGTAATACTGTAATCAAAACAACCTCAAAACCATGGGATAGGCAACAGATGTTTGATCCTTGGATAATGTTTGCTGTTTCAGCTAGGTAAGGATAATCATGTGGTCCTTGAGCAAGCTGCAGCCATCGCAAAAAGTTTCTCAAATAATGTTGCAGATACAGCTAAAATCCTGCTAAAATAACTCCTATGGCAGGACAAGTCCTGAAGCCTGGTATATCACAGTAAGCTTAAGACTTATTACTAGCACTGGCAACCTGTAGTTGGCTGGGTCATAGGCTATGCTAGCACACTTCTGAAATTCAGATATTCTTCTCAGTATCCAGCTGCATTTCAGAGAACATCCTCGTCAGTATGAGACTCTGAAAGAGCGTTTCTGCCTCTCAGCTTGCACAGCTTAGCAGAGCTGGGCAATACAAAAGAACAAATAAATAAACCCAAAATTTGAAATAAAGACTGATAAGATCAGTGGTACATTAAAATCCTGAGTAAATAAAAATAGCCAATAGCGAGTAAGTAACAACGATTTGCGCTACAGAAAGACTGTTCTAACTTGTGCAGATTGTAAGGAAAGAAAGCCTAATCTGTAAGGAATGAAGAAGCATTGTGGTGATAGGTATGTCCTGAGGAAGGGCTTAGGTGAGACCACTAAACGGAAAAAAAAAAAAATCTCATTCACCATACAAGAACACAAAGTAAACAGTCCTTAACTGAACTGTTTGTCCTGTTTCAGCTGTGATTTCTGTCTGTCTACTGTTGACAAACAAACCTGCACAATAAAGCTAGTTTTCACATGTGACTTTAGATCACTGTAATTAACTCAGGATGGTGAGTTAAAGTTTGTCAGAGAGGATTCTAAGCAGAACTGAAAGTATGCTCCAGAATGGAAAGTGAAGCATGAGCATGTGTAAAGTAGGCTGGGCTTTTAAAACTTGACTACAGATTAGACTCATGTCTCCAGATGAGGCCCAAAAGTCCTCTTGTGCAGTGTATAATAAAGTGCGTGCCCATAGAGTGTAAGCTGCCCAGGCAGAAGAAATGTACAGTAAAATTTTGTCTAGTATCACAGGTGATAAGTAAACTACAATTTCCTCTGGATCTAAAGGCAAAGTACCTTTAGTTTTGAGTCTGTTTTATTTTGAAAGTGGGAAATGGTACATTGCAACTTTAGAAGTATCTTTTTGGGGAGAAGACTTTGGAAAATAAATACCTTGTTGCTGAAAGGTATTCTAGTTGTGTGAGGTTGTATTATCTCTACTATTGCTTCATTGAAATTGACACTGAATTAATTTTATGTAATTCATTAACAGCTCAGGAAAACTCCTTTAGCTTAAAAACATCTTCCCCCAGTATTTGAAGCTGACTATTTCATTACAGTTCCAGAAATTCACACTTCACAACTGAAGCAGTAAAATCATAAAGTATAGGCAGACCTTCTCCCAGTTGGATTAAGTATCAAATGGCATTTACTATGTCTAGAACAAAAGTGAGATTTTTAAGGTGCTATCACAACATAAATAGTAGTATGACTAAAAGTAAGATGAATACAACATGAGGTAGCTTAATATGAAAGAGCTAATGCAATGTAGTTAAAAAACAAACAAACAAACAAAAAAACACCAAAAAAACACAACAAAAAAACCAAACCCAAAACCAAACAAACCAAAAAAGGCTGACTTAAGCTGCCAGGTACTTGAAGTTTCCTCACATAGTTTACACAACCAGTAGAAAAAGACTCTTTTTAATCTTCTCATTATGTTTTCCAGAACTAACAAGAAAGCCTTGGGAAAGAACAAATACAGTGAACGGAAGCAAGTCACCTGTTATATCCAGGTACTCCCTTTTGTACCAGCTATCTTTTCCTTATGTTTGCTGTTGTTGTCATGCTGCTAAAGATACCGGGCTAGAATAGCAAAAATCACCTTCGTATTAAAAGCAAAATGTATGGGTTTAAAATTACTTCTGTGAAACTGCTTTTGGCAGTTTTAATTAAGAAAGAAGAGTTGCTTTTGGAGGATATTAGCAAGTGAAATTTTTTACAGTAAAGTCAAAAGTAAAACCCAAAAAGATTCCTTAACAATTGCTGGTGTATAGCTTCAATTATTAAGGTATATGTTTGCGTACAGCAATGTTTAATTCTTTCTATTTCTTTAAATTTTGAAGTCTGACATTTCCTGCAAGGGAAAACCAAATTCAGTGCTGTGATTCATGTATTCAGTAGTAAATCTAGTGAATAGGTTTTCTCCTTTCTATTTCTGTGCTAGTCATAGAATGGTTATCTAGATATTTAAGCCATCTTGGAAAGATTTGATTTTGTGACAGTTTTCAGTAGTTGTGTCATACCAGTCCAAGGCAGTCCATCCAAAAGTGAAGAAATATACATCCTTCAGTGCATTAACCAATCTTTGGTCACTTGTCAGCTGGAACTTCAGTAGGTAGTGGGTGTTTTGGTAGGCATTTTAGTAATGGCTGCTTTAGCAATTTTTTAAAATTATTTTTTGAGGTATATTTAGTAGCCATTTACATTAAGCACATGGCTTGTGGTTCATTTTAGAATTCCTGTATATTCTGTGTACAGAGGTTAAAGGATTCTGACCTGTGATAATCTGACAAAGTTACCTGAATTTATTGAGAGAAAACAAAAGAACATGTTAAACTAAAGAATGCTGTCTTTGAAATGACTTGAATTCTCCTTAAAATTCTGGCCTGTTGGAAACAGCTGTGCAAGATTTGGTGATTAAAGAAGAAAAACCAATTATTCTCTAAGTGGCAATACTTGTCAAGGTTGCCATTGAGGTCTTCAGTTCTAAACCGCATCACTAAACACCTATATCAGTATCCTTGTCATTCTTTCAGAAATAACCGAGTCCAGGAGCTTAAAATATCTGTAGCCATGATTTTGTCTGCTTGCTTTATTTTTTGTCAAAAAGCAGGTGACATTGGTGGTGATGTCCTCTCTGCTGTACTGTCAGTTTAACAAAATACCACTTTAGCTTTGACTTCTCCCTACCTTCTTCTCCCTCACCCCAGTAGGTCTTACGTGCTTTAACTGGGGTCTCTTGTTTTCAAGCAGATTTGAAGTATCAATACATGTCACAGAACTTGTCACAGACATACCTTGTGTAAGGAATCCTAAAGAGCGTTTTCATATGAAGACTATTGCTGACCTGGCCCTTTGGATATAAATACTTTATGTATAAACAATTGAAGAAAGGAAAGTGAAGACATTAATAAATTGGGCAACTTTCTGTATCAGACTCCGTTGGAGAGTCTGGGATGTCCTTAAGTCTTCATTCTGCCTGTCCCTACAGCTATAGCTTCTTGTAAACTGTTTTATGCAGCCTATCTCATTGATCTTGTTCCAGCCAGTGAAATTCAGATGTTACTGAGGGCATTGATCTTGTTCCAGCCAGTGAAATTCAGATGTTACTGAGGGCTGTTCAAAAAGGTTTTTTCACCTAGAGGAGTAGAGACATTTTGAGACTTCTCTTGAGACACGTTAAGAAAATCTCTCCATCACGCTTTTACTTCAGTCATCCAATGGAAAATGTTGATAGAATGCAGCTTGATGAACCCCTTACTGGGTGTATACTCTAAAAGTACTTCCAAAATAAGAATTCCATGTTTATTGGATGACAGTATTACTTTCCAGTGCTGTCATAACCTGCTGGAAGGTGCCATAGCATATATTCTAAGACTGCTAGGACAGTTTTCTAGACAATGTTGACAGTTTGCCTTGCCACGATGAGGAATATTTCATGGACTGAGAAAGAAAAGGGATTAGGAGAAGTCTGTCTTGAATATCCTTGCCTTTTCCTTAATTCTCTACAGTTGCCAAGCCCGTCTCAGCAAGCAACTTGTTAAAGTAACTTTCTTTGAGTGAGTTAGTCAAAGGGGGATGCTATTTGAAACGCTAATACTGTGTTTGCCAGAAGGGGATATCTTTCACCTGGTAAGCCTTGAGAAACTGCTTCTGACCTCTACAGAGAGGATATGAGTCATTTATGGGGATTAAACAAAGCATGCCTAAGAAACTGGCAAGTAAGCAAAATTTTCTCTTTGAGCTTCCAAACAGGTAGACAATGAAGGAGTTGTTATTCAGAATGAATGTTCTAAGTATTGTAAAATAACTAATGTCCTGTTTAAAATCAAGCCTTTTTTTGTAGCAGACTTGGAAAAGACTTAAGCTGCGTGCTTTTAGTATTTCCTGAAACATTCAAATAGAACTCATGGAACATAAATAGTTAAACACCATGGTTTTTAAGGTGCTAAAACTGAACATAATTAAGACCCATTATAGCTTGTTAAGGTAGTGTTTCTCCCCTTCGTAGACGGGAATCTCCATGGAAAAACCTGCTTGCTTCTGAAAACAGGTTCTATGATTCATTAAACAGGTATCATCCTGTTGGGATTTGAGACTTTGTAATAACCATTTTGACCAGTTCAGGGTTGGACTTTTTCTACATGGATTGGTAATCACCACAGGCATGACCAGGTTTCTTTTCACATTTTGTTTGTCCAGTTGAGCCTATTTTTGGACTGGTTAAAAGCAGGTGGTGCCAAAGGCAAATTGAGATGGCTTAAGAACCAGCTATGAATTCATATTAAATACTGGTTTTCTGGCAGACGCGGCCTGCAAAGGTATAGATTTCCGTTGGATATGCCAAGATTTAGTGAACCATTTGCAGTGTTTTGAGAAGCAGGTTTTCAAAACTGTAAGTTTAAGTACACAGGAATAGAAATTAATTTTCCAGGTGAATTTTCACATCTGCTTTTCACAAATTAATATAACAGATATATTCTGCCTGACTTAAACATTGGGAGGGGGGAAAAAAAAAAAGGACTCATTAAGCATAAATTAATGTTTCTGTTGGGAACATATTCACAAATCAGAATTAACATCGTGTATTTTAAGCTGTAGATCTCAATTTCACTCTGCGTAGAATAAAACACTGACATCGAAAGCCTTCAGGTATTAAGAGCTTTCCACATGTAAAAGTGTTACAGAGCCCCTCAGCATTACTGAGTCAAATTCCAGCTTTGTTTTTCTTGAAGGCACTCATTGTGGTGACTACTTAATCTTTTGTATGAAAAGTTCCCCTTTTAGCTACTTATCTTGGGTGGTGTATTCTGCATGTTGGCATGAATAAAATCTTTATCTTGCATGCTTGATTTAAGGTGTTTTAGGGCCTGTTGAGGTTGCCTCACTGTCCTGTTAGGCAATGCTATGAAAAACCACACGGGAGAGCTCTTTAGCCATCTTAGGTTCAAATGGTTGTGATGTTTCATTCACAAAATTTGAATAGTTAATGTATTTCTTAATGGCAACTGCATTCACCTCTAACCTTTCTTCTGAGCAAGCTGAACGAGGAAAAAGAGGATAATTTGCAGGGGGAGAAAGCTAGATTTACCTGGGATGAAAAATGATCTAGTTTACAAATTGCGGTCTTTCATATTTGACTGAATCAAGAATGTCTTGCATTTAGGAAAGCAAAAATGGAATACATTCTTAAGACTGAGCAGTATAGTTTATAAATAGGCTTTCCTGTTGAGCTCTTTGCAGATAGCAGTATTATATGGCGTATCTTTTATTCTAAAGATCTGAAGCAAAGGAAACGAGAGAGAGCTCTTCTTTGAAGTCATTTCATTAAAATATTGAAGTCATAAGTAATTTTATTAAAATAGTAAAGTACATTCTTGTTTGGGTTCTTCCATTAAGGCATTTATTAGGTCTCTGTTACCACGTGTCAGGAATTGCATTTGGGAGGACACGAATTCTTTTTTCAGTCAGGTTGGGTATGTGCTGTAATGCCATAGTGTATGGGAACAAAGTGATAGTGAATGGAAATTATCAGAAACTATACATGGAGAAACTGAAAAACGTATGCTATCCTGCTTGGAGTAAGTCATTGTTCACAGTTTTGGGTGTAAACTACAAGTAATGCTTTAAATATCAGGTATGTGATGACATAGCAATTGCCAAAGATCTCATCTTGATGAATGTTTTTGAGCAAGGAATTCTGTCATAAGGAACTAGCCCTATCAGTATCTAAAGAGTTCTGTAAAAGATCCCAGACTGTGGTTTGTCTTCATAGCATTAGCGCACACTGTAGACCTTCTGGTGGTTATAAGGTGAATCCTATTTTCGAGCTTCTTCCACTATCAAGTTACTGAATATTTTATCTTCTGTCTTACTCGGTGGATCATGTATTTCATTTTGGTGTGTTTCAATCAATAATAATGTTAGCAATTTCTCTCTTGGAACTTCCATTTAGATTCTCTAAACAGCTGTAGCAATTGACTATTGTGATCCCAAGTGAAGAACCGAGCTGGTATAACAACACAGGGTGTTCCTGTGCCTCTGCTTTGATGCAAAGTCCAGTGGCAAAGGGACAGTTACACGTTGCCTTCTGCTGACTCTGTTTTGCATGGTTAATTGCTGGCAGTTTTTTCCTAAATGGGTGCCACCAGGCTTGACATAACTAACTTATCAGTGCACAGAAATGATAGTGAAGCATTAAAAAAAATTATCAAGAGGTTTCTAACACCTACATAGGAGTTACTGCCTTTTGAAAAAATGAACGGGCTTCGGAGTATCAATTTAAAATATCACCAGAATTACTCGGTAGCTATGAATGTGTATGAAGGTTTTCATGAATTTTTTGAATGCGCCAGGCTCTCCAATGACACAGGCATGCCCTGTTACAGGTTAGGGTGAAGAAAAAATAGGCAACTCTTGTTTCCCATATTGTTTCTTAATATTTTTCATGCTGGGAACCTTTAAGAGGTAAAAGTATCTGCTGGAGAGCACAAACCTGAGAAAGTTTCTGTAGTATCAAAATGACATTTTAGTGTGCATGCCCTTTTCTGTTGGGAGTTGCATTTTAAGTGTTTTCGTTCCATTAGCAAATAAGAAAATAATCCTGTCAGGTTATAAAAGTCATCAAGATGCTCCAGTATGAGACTTGTCCTCCTTGTACTAAACAAAGACAGTGTAATCAGACAATTACACTGCTGTCTTGTAAGGGAAGATGCATCAAAGTTGAAGGTAGTGATTTTGTAAGAACAAACAAAGAAAAATATATATATGTTCACTACTCTTTTTCTTCTGATGAAGAACACAGCTTTTTTGTGTTAGTTAAATTAAAAATACATAAATACATGGAAAAAATAAAGCAATGGATGTACTCCTTATGTATCTCACACATTTGGCTTTATTCTGAAAAAATATACTTTTATACTGTGTATTTGAGGGAAGATAAAGCGCAGAACTGTGCTGTTCCTGCTGGTTTGCCTTTTTTTTTTTTTTTTTTTTTCCTGGCCACCTTCCATTGTAATAAATAAGGGTGCACCTTCAGGTAACGAATCCAGAGAAATGCAGTGTTTAATGAATTCCTCCTATGTGAGAATTTTGAAGTGAGGCACTGAGTTTACACCACGCTTTTTTGTTCAGTGATGCCGCATACAAGGACAATGAAATAGGAGCCAGTTTAGTCTACTAATACCCTGCCCGTCCTTAACATTAGCATACAGTGATAATTCTAAGCATTGGGGAAACCTCTTGACATGATAAAATTGCTGACAGTTCAACAGCATCTGTTTGCCTTAACATTTTATAGAGTAATGGAGAGAGAATGTTAGCCAAGATATAAATAGTCATTAAGAACAGCAGAACATTCCTCCCTCTTTCTCCCACACCACTCATCCATCCATCCCTGCTTTGGGGAACTGTTCCTTCTCTTCCTGCTAGGTTCTGTCTCTGCTCACAGCTGTACGTATGCAAGGCCCTGAGGAAGCATAGAAAGTGCATGAGTCTGAGTTACACCTTGTATAAACTGAAGGGATCAGAAAAGTGAGAAGGTAGAAAACCCACTTCTTCTGGAACGTGTATTTAAAAATACAAGGTGATCTTGGTAAGGAAGTTTTTGATGTCTTGGGAGAGTACTACGTAGGCAAACATTTAATATGACATAGTCCAAAACACTAGAACTTTCTCTCAAGTATTATCTTCTAAATCTTGCTGCTCTTAACAGTATTTGTGTTCACTAGCTTTAGAAAGCAATTGATGGAATACTTTAGGTTGGAAGGGAATTAGATAAGGTTGCTCAGCCATGTCCTGTCAAATGTTGAATATCTGTCAGGGTGATTCCAGAGCATTCATACAGTTACGGCATCAACATGTAGTTATTAGTGGGAGTGTTTCTTTGAGAGGGCCTCTTTTGAAATTAGTAAGCAGTTGAAAAGGGAGAATGGAAAGTATTTGACATTTGAAGGCATTCAGCTTTTCATGCCCCTTATGGAAAAAAAATTAGAAACCACTGACAGTGAAATCTGTCTTCTACTTGAAAAGTTCTTGTTTTGAACTAATAACTCTTATTCTTATGGCAATTTATATTTCCAGTGTGTGGAAAATGTTCTTGGTTGTTGCTTTCTATTCTGTGTGGTATTTTGGGTCTGCCTGACTTTCCCACCCTCCCACTCACAACATTTTTTTTTTTTTCATTCGGATTCTTTACTATGTTTTTGATAGACAAATGTTAGCAAGTTTGATGGGGAAGTCCTACATATCCTGTAATAATGAGTGACAAGTAATTCATGGGTGTATTTTTGTACTGCAGACCAAAATCTACACCAACGGGGCAACCCAGTGCCAATGGAGTACAGTCAGAAGGTCTAGATTATGACAGATTGAAGCAGGTACGTATATAATGCTTTGAATAGAAAACTTGGGTATAAAGACCTGTAGCTGTCTGCTACCAGTTTATAACTGTTTTGTTAACTAGTTCCAAACTTAAATATTGATTTAGAAATTATTATTCATTATTTTTCCCCAGATGTGCTTCAGTATTCTTAGGAGCTGTAACCGTAGGATGCTTTTTCATTAGGCAGCACAAACAAGATGATGTTGATACTACGGGTGGAGCTGGGAAACTGCTTTGCCTGCAAAACCTTTCCTTCTCTTCTCTCTACTCAAGCAAGCAAGCAAACAAACAAACAACAAGCCTTCAGAGCAGTTCTAGCAGAACAAGTATCACCATGTTTTATATTGGATGTGAGCACCTGTGGTCATGAATTTGGTGGTAAAAGAACACCCAGTGATTCCACCTTTTGTGTAGCTATACTGGCTAAGAGTAGAGTATGGTGGGAAGAAGGCAGCAGCTGCCTGCTCCTAAATGAGGAAAAGACATTATGGGATGCTTGTTTGGTAGTAGGTTTGTAGGTGACAGGCCTTTGTCAAGTACACTTCCAGACAAACCTGTGCAACCAGAGACTCAGCAAGGGATCTCTTGTGACTTGTGCGAAGGCGGGAGCTATCAGTTAAGAGTGATTGGTAGACTGAGCAGATGTTCCACGCTCCTAAAAACAGGAGCCCTCAGAGGAGCAAGTGGGTGTAAGGTATTTGTGTTCCTCTGACTACTGAGAAGTCCCTTGTTCTTGAGGAGGCTCTGAGGTGATCATCTGTGCTGCCGCTGGTAGGTGCTTTCCGTGCAGATGTCCTTTTGAGAGCAGTAGTTGCCTTGGGCATTGGGCTGATGCTGACCTGAGCAGACTTGTATAAGGTGTTTGGAGTTGTCTGTGTGCAAGAAAGCTGCTGTGCATTTTTGCCCTGTTGTGCTCCGTGATGCACCTAGAAATCTGTAGGGTCTTTGGGAACTGCAAGGCCAATACGCAGCAGGGAAACCTGATTCCTGTGGGTGAGCAGCATTTCAGTATTGTATCCCATGGGTAGGTAGCAGTCTTGAGGAAGCATGGTAGGATGGGGTTAGCTGGCCTGCTTGTGGCTTGGTGAGCGAGGCTTGGGCAAAAGCAGTTGTGTGCTTTCTCAGTGCCAGTCTGAGTTGTGTGGTATGGGAAGTCATGTTTGAGGTCTTGGCACTGTTTTTTGGCCACTTTTGTCCATGCTGAGCTGGTGGAAGCTCCGTTTCTTGGGGAGCATATTGAGATGGTGCTAGTTACTTTTCTGGCAAGAGTATGAGTACGCAGTGTTTTGTGCGTGCGATCTGCCTCTTCCAGGAAAGGCTTTGCTGAAGTCAGATCCTTGAAAAGGGGAGCGATGTGCTTGCTGCTGCTGGGGGGGGCTCTACGTTTAGGGGTCTGTAGAGCGGTGGTTGGTTGTGCAGCGGGTAGGTTTCAGACTTGGTGAGTTTTGGGGTGGGTGGTTGTTTGTAGGGCCATAATAGTGGTGTTGGTAGCAGTCGTTTTTAGAGGGACTGAGAATTGTGGAGTTGGAGGTGAGGTTGTGAGGGATCTTCCTCAAGTAGCATTTGGATCAACATGCTGGTCCCTGAGTGGGCACGGAGGTTCTAGAGAAGAGGTCCACCTTGGTGTTGGTTTTAGAGCAACGGTTGGTTCTAGAGCAGGTTCTGGCCTGTGGGTTGTTCTGGAGCATGTGTGGGATTGTTCTAGAATCTAGTTTAAGGGGTGCTCTTGTTTTGAGGTACTCTTGCTAGACCTATGAAATGATGATGATGACAGCAGTGTAGCTGCTTTCTTTTTTTCTTCTGTGTGTTTTGTTTTGTTTTTTTTTTCCCCTGAAGTGCTTTTTTCCTTCTCTGTGGTTCTTTTGAGTTGAAGGCACAGAGGATGTAGATCCTATCATCCCATAAAGCACATCTCTGCTAAGTTTCCTGCACACTGCTTCTCACTGCCTCTGTTAAGATTATTTTCTGTGGAGGCAAAATTGTTTCTCACTTTCTTTCTACTGGACACGTGGCAGGCTTTTACTTGCTGCTGCCCTTTTCAGCAACTGGTGGCCATGCTCCTGCTCCAAGGTTTCTTGCCACTTGTCCAAGAGTCTTATCTAAGACTTGGTGAATTGGGAAACCTACCCTGGCAGCTTTGGTATGCACTCTTACACCAGGAATGACTCCAGGCAGAGAAGGCGTGTCCATGTGTGTCTTCCACCAACAGCTGATAAAGGACTCAAGTCTAGAGTGCACTAGAGTAATTGCGCACTCAGTTGCGAACAGCATGCTAATCCCAAAGCTGAAAAAGAAATACCTGAAATCTTCAGG